ATATTGCCATACCTGCAGTAATGCATCAAGGGGGTAGGCCAACAAAGAACTATAAAGAATTAAACGAGAGAAGCAAAAGAAGAAAAACAGAAAACATACGCGCTACCACAAATTCATAAACTTTGATTTGTGTTGATCAGGTGGAATTAGGTGTTACAGGAAAAAGAACTGCTTCAAAAATTTTTAAAGGGCATTATCCGCTCCCAAAAGCGGGCAAAAATGTATAAGATAACATACTCTAGCGTTTTACAGGAAAAAAAATCACAGCTATCGGTATTAAGTGCACTGACCATGTTTGTAGAAGCTGGTCTTTCCAGAAGACGATATGAAATTGTTAGAAGTTCTTGTAAAACATTATATCCTTGCTATAGTATCCTGCAAAAGGCAAAAGTAGATCGTAATTCAAATAAAGATTCTTATTATGCCACTGAAACTTTTATTGCAGTCAATTTACAAGATTTATTGGACCATACCGTTACACGATTTTTTTTTTATTTTTTTATTTTTTATTTTTTTATTTTTTTTTTTATTTATTTACACTTTTGCCGATTAAAAAAAAAACTTACAGTCGTAACTTATAAAAAAAATAATTACATGACCGGGGCTAGAAGAAGACAAATTTAGTCTTATCATTAAGCCCCAAAAAATGCGTCATTACTAGACAAAATATAGTTTAACAATAAAATATAGTTTCAATGTATATATCTCTGATTTATATTATAAAAGAAAATTTAAATATATCGTATATCGTTTAAAATTTATAGTTTTTCAAAGAATAAGTTTAACAATTGTTTTGTAAAATAAAAGAAACAAAATTTAATAAAATATTAAAATGACAAAAATAACATTTAAGACTTGGTTTGAAAAATAAGAAGATATGACTTTATATAAAAACATTTTATTGGTAGAGCATTTTATAGTTTAACTTATTTAATTATATTTATAATACTTTTCATTGCCAATTAAGTTAATAAATAGTATAAAATAAAAGTAAAAGATTAATAAATAACGCAAAAATAAAAAATAAATTTCTCAAAAAAAAGATTATCATTTAAAATGATAAAAATATATGTACAATTGTTGATTAATTATGTATTAATAATCTAAAGTAATAAATCAATAATTAATTAACTATTAATTATTGATTTCTAATATAAAGAAGTTTTATTAGAAAAAATTTAATTCATTTTCAGTTAACAAAAGTAATTGCTTAAGTTTTGTTTTGAATTGGTTTAGAGAATAATTAGTTTTCATTTCATTATTTAATATTATGTTCCACAACTTTGGTCCTCGGTTTACAATAGAGAATTTAGTAGCGGAATAATAAGTTTGGGATTGAATGTAGTTGTATTTTGAAAATCTTGTAGGGTATATGTGATTTATTTTTTCAAAAATTGAATAAAATAAGATTGGTAATATATTTTTATCAAGTTTGAACATGAAAACAAGAACTTGATAGAGGTTTAGTTTATATACATTTAGGATATTGAGTTCATTAAAAAGTGTTTGTGTGTGTGAAAAACGATCTACGTTTGAAATTATCCTTATAGCCTGTTTTTGTTTGCTAAGCAATTTTTTTATTTTCGTCGCGTTAGTGCTACACCAAGCAATGTTCGCATAACTTAAGTAGCAATGAATAAGATTGGTCGTGTATTTAGAAGAAGTGGTACAAAATTTAAACGAAAAAGAAAGAAGTTCATTAATATTAAATTGTAAATGGGGTTATGACGGATCACAGCAAAATCAATATAAACAGAAATTTCTGAATGACGACGATTCTGATTCAAGCATATTTCAGAGTTCTTTTATATTGCTTCAATTAACTTGTACTTAAAACAACAGATTGATCTGGCAAAATCCAACTCCTTCTTCGCCACGTTATTGTCGCCCTATAAGAATTAGATTCGTCAAAGAATCCAATGATATAACAAATGAAGAGATAAAACTTATTGAAAATTCAATTATCTCTTTGCATGATAAAAAATTGACAGTGGGTGGGAATTTCTTTTCAATTGAACATAATATGATGCTCACTATGGTTGATGCTAAGGTGTGTAACGCAACCACTAAAACAGCTTTAACTATGAGATGCTATATTTGTGGTGCAACATCAAAAGATTTTAATAACTTGACTATTGAAAAAGATGTCAAACCAGATACACTGAAGTTTGGGTTATCAGTTTTGCATGCTAGGATCCGAATATTTGAAAATTTATTGCATCTATTTTATAAATTGCTTATTATAAAATGGCAAGCGAGATCAGTAAATGAATAATTAATTGTTAAACAAAAAAAACTAGAAATACAATGAAATTTAAAAATAAATAGGTTTAATTTAGACGTACCTAAGCCTGGATTTAGTAACTTTAGTAAAGTTTTTTGCAGACCCAGAGTTGGCAGCTGAAATATTGTGTATAGATTATAACCTAATATATCGCCTTAAAGTAATATTAAAAACATTATCTAGTGAACATAAAATAGCTGTCAAAAAATTTAGAAGATATACAGTAAAAAACTGCGGAACTATATGCCCAGTTATACTAATGGTACCCGATGACCCCTACAATGCATAAAATCCTTATTCATGGTTTTATTGTAATAGAGCATGCTTTGCTTCCTTTTGGTCAACTATATTAATACGAAATAAAGATTTTGTGCTTCAGAGCAATCAGGGATGTCTTCTGATAAAGAACTTTAGCTTTCGGCATCATCCTTTTAATAGTAGTTATTTTGAGTTAAAATATAAATAGCTGTTAAGATTTTTTTAAATATTTACCATAGCTTAACAAGAGTTATATAGCAATTGCAAGTGCTTCCAAATACATTAAGATAACACAAATCGCGATGTTATGACTTCCAATTCCAAGTGAAAGTTAGAGAAAGAAAAGTTATCTACCATATATAATAGTTTTATATCATGATAAGAACCATATAAAATAGGTTCTTATCATGTTTTTGCTTAGTGTGAAAAAAAAAAAAAAAAAAAAAAAAAAAGCTGTGGGGATCATCTTTAATTTTTTCTTAAAATCTTTTGTTTTCTCTTTCTATTTGGCTAGCTCTACCAGCTTTTCCTAAAAAAAAGATAAACTTTTTCAATCAATGATTATTAAATATTTTTTGCCGCCTAAATTAAATACCACACTGAGCATCTAGTCGGTCTAGTTATTGGCAATAAAGACAAATATTTGGAGAGCTAAGACTAGCTTAAATTTAATTTGTAACTGTTTTAATATAATATAAAATTTTAATATAACTGTTTTAATATACTCCATCGATGACCAACATTTCGAAACTAACGCAGACCGTAGAAAATTATATTAATCAAAATGGCTTCAAACAATATATTAAAGAAAGAATATGATGCAAAACCGTTTATGTGTACTTTTAATTGTCAGGGACTTGAATCAAATATTCAATACACTGAGACCTTAATAAATTCTCATGATATAACGTTTCTATGCGAACACTGGGTATCAAAACTCGAATATTATATAATCAAAAATATTTGTAAAAACTCTCACTCATTACTTTTCAGCCAGGCAAATTAACACGAACAGGGTCGACCTTTTGGTGGAAATGCATTTTTTATGCGAAAAATTAAATTTCAAAATATCATACCTCTGTACGAAGATGATAATATATTTGCAATTAACTTAAAAAAAATAAAATAATTATTATTTTAATTGGCACATATCTAACCTCATCACAAAACAATCAGTCGTCATTGGAGAAACACACAAGTCAATTAGACATACTAAAAGGAATTATGAATAGTCATGCGGATACTGGCGAGATAATTATACTTGGAAATTTCCAATCGTTTCCTTACGGAATATACGATCTACTAGAAAGATCTAGCCCCAAGAGAAACAATTTGTCTAAGGTTTTATCGGAATTTATTGATTTAAATGAATTAGAATTAGTCGACGTAACTAAAGGTTCTGGTCTTGCAATCGCATATCAACATCTCACATTGCCAAACTCTTCTAACATTGATCATACAGCTATATCAAAGTATACATCTCTTCTCTTTTATAGATGATATAAAAGAATTATGTGATAATCATAAACTGAACATGAAAACCTTAATGCAGGTTAAAAAAAGTAAAAAGTTTTGGAGAATGTAATTCCTGAAGCTACTCTTCATATTTTGATACATTCGGTTCAATGTTGGAATGTAAAAGAACAGCGAACAATTTTAAAAGACACTCGAAAACATTCCTAATTAACACTATTTTTTCTCTTTTTCTTAGTTTGTTTTTACCTTGTAAATTTATTTTACCGAGGGTGATTAATAAAATATTAATAATTTAAATAAATATCCATAATAAAAAATATATAATATAAATTAATATAATAAAACAATATTAATTACTGCACCTGTAATTTTATTACTGGGTGTTTAAGAAAAAATAATAAATTTAGCACTACCACCTGTAGTCGAACTGAAGTATTTAATAGAATCCTAACCTCGACAGATATAAACGCCTCGGGGGCCTAGATATTTTTATCCTTTATCAATTATTTGCGGAAAATTTTGAAATTTGGGCCGTCAACTGGTGTTCAGTGTGTAAGGGGAGGGAAGAAACACCTATAGAACGAATCAGCCTTACTCAGGGCTAGTGAATGAGGAATGGAAAGCAAAAAGGAGCTTTCTCCTACCTCCCCTATACCATACATCTTTTTAAGATAAACTTATTCTTGCTCTTTCTGTTGGTTAGTTTGCGAATTATGAAAATCGACGAGACTATAATTTTTAGTCTTTTAAGCAAAGTAGATATTAATGCTAGAACATTTAGTTGTCAACAAGTAGCCCCTCTACATAAACGTTCATTTGAAGACCACATCCCCTACGAGCGTACATCCTTTATGGACGACCCTCTTACCTTCTAAAGACCAGAGTTAACTACAAATTTTGATTTAAAAAAAGGTAATATAAAATTAGACTAATTAAAAGTATACTCAGAATTGCTTTGTATGTCTTGAGTTAAAAAACAGAATTAAAAAAAGGCTTTCTTCACTATAAACAGTAAAAAGTTATCGCCGTATTCTTTCACAGAATTTCCATTCTCATATAAACCTAGATCATTCTGAACAAAACAAATCCGTTTAACAGTTATTAATTCTTTGAAGGATCGCGTCAACACCTCACATTTCGCATATAAATTTCATCGTTGAATTTAACACCACTAGATAGCAAAATGAATTCCAAAAACATGCCTCGACATTATTTACAATTACTTCAAATGTATATTTTACTTTTTATTTTTCTGAACATAATCCCAAAATTCTTTTTGCGTCTAAATATAAAAATTAGTTATCATGTTAAAAATAATGTTAATTATATGATGAATTTTAGTAATTAACAAATATAAAGAGATGATTAATAAACTCACAGTTTGGTCAACAACTTTCATATTATTTTTCATAAAGTTAACAAATTTATCAAAGGTCTTTGGAACATTCGGAGACTAAAAATTCAACTTCAGCAAATTATATTAAGTCAATATATCATTTATTGACTAAACATTAAAAAATTGACATGCATTACAAACCTTGTTGATAATAAATTTATATTCATTTTAAAAAAACTAAAAAATTAGTATATTACCTTGAGTAGCATCTGTTTTATTTCATCAGGAGTCTAAAAAATCAACTTGTAATTAAATTTTATTAATAGACAATAACATTATCCTCAGTTGATTGATACTGAAATCTTACCTTTTTAGCTTGTGGTGTTTTTGCTTCCTAAACAAAAACAATTTCAACTACATTCAAACACAAGTTTAATGATAAAACGTACAACACATATTAAGACAAGTATGAGTTGATGTAGAGCAATTAAAAGTTTAATGTGAACACAACAGAAGATTTCTTAAAATTTCAAAATTGATTAAAATTATATTAAGAAATTAATTTGAATTTTTGTTTTTTACCTTTTTAGATTGTGGTGTCTTTTGAGTGTTGTTTTCCTTTAAGAAAAAATTAGTACATCTCTTAAACTCATTAAAATTTAAAAAAAAAAGAGTAAGGTTCTTTTTTCACCAAAAGACATTGATTCGCAGCTCAGGCAAATCAAATTTCAAAAAATTTTAAAATTGATCCACCCTGATGAATAAACATGAATTTTGTTAGTGTGAAGTGGCATAAGTGTGCTAAAAAAATTTGCATTACTTAAGCAAAAAATGCGAACCAGTTACAAAAACTGGCATGTGTGCTGAATAAAATTGCAAACAAACGTAAATGCAAATTGAAGTTGTGCACATATGCCAATAATTGCAAATTTGTTCGACACACATGTTTATTTGCACGTATGCCAGATTTTACAATTGTTCTGTGCTTATGCCAATTCACACTTATCTTAATGCTTAAAAATTCTTTTGGTGTGTGTGTGTGTATGCATACATAAAAATTTCAACATAATATAATTATATAAAAATAAAAAAATTATACATTATAATATAATAAAAACAGAACCACAAAAAAATAATATAAAAATCAAAAATATTGTAAAAAAATAAAAAAAACCTTTTTTCCTTGTGGTGTTTTGGCTGCATCCTTAAAAAAGAAAATAAATAATAGAAAATGCAAAACCATATATGTAGAGAAATAATAATAAAAAAAGGCATACCTTTTTACCAGGGGTTTTTTTGTCAGAAACTTTTTGATTTGAAGGAGTTTTATTTTCAGTCTGGGCAGGTTTGCCATTTTGTTGTTTTTGAGGTGTTTTTTTATTTATTTTAACAGGAGACTCTTCCTCACTCTCCTAAAAAATATGAAAATTAAAAAATTTAATAAGAGAAATTTTAAATACTTATATTTTACAACACCTAAAGACCTAGCGAACCATTATAGTTTTACCTATAGGTTCTTATTTTTTTCAAATGTTGTTACAACCTTTTACCTTGAAATAAAACCTTGAAATAAAAGTTGATCACAATACCTCCTGGAAAAACGTAAAGCTAAAGCATGACTTAAATATATTAAAAAAATATATTGACTAAGTTACTTACTTCTTCATCTTCCTCCTCCTCATCATCTTCTTCTTCATCTTCCTCCTCCTCATCTTCATCTGAATCTACATCATCACCATCTTCAGGCTCATCATCACCATCATCACTATCTTCATCATCTTCTTCTTCTGCTTCATTATCCAGAAGGCTGGGCTGAATTAAAAAAAATTACATACTACTTTAGAAATTTAATACCTACTTGAGAAATTCAAATAAAAAAAAAAATCAAAAACAAATAACTGAAATATTACCATTTCTTCATCACTGCTTTCTTCTTCATTATCAGCAGCTACAACAGGCTCAACCTAGAAAGTGTAACTTGTAATAAAAATAAAAAATTATAAGTAATCACAAAACTCCCTTAGTTAGTATTTCTTTTTATATACATTGTGTTCTCCTCATATAAAATAAAGAGCAGTAGTCTAAAAAAAGAAAAATTACAGTTTTATTATTACCGACTTCTTATTGAGTTATCACTGAGGCTTTCACTAATTTGTTTAGAATGTTATATTTTTCTGAAATTTCAATATTTCATTGCAACATTTATACTTAAACATAGCTTGCTTTAATTATCTTTTAAAGATAATAAAGTTTTACTTTATTATCTTTTGTTTTCTAAACAACATCCATTTATTTGAATTATAACGATATTGTGCATCATATACAAAGGAAACCAAATTTCTTTGATTCAAATGTGTTAAAGAATCAAATTGAAAAAGCACCTTGTTAAGGCTCTCTTGTACCTTTTGTGAAACTAGTTACCTTTTGACACCTACTGATTGCTTAAAGGTACAAGCATTCTTGAATTAAAAAAAAATAAAAAAAAAATCGCACCATGTCATTAATGGATTTTCCCTTACCATAAACAAAACTTCACTATTTTTTAAAAACAATACAATACCTTTTTCTTTTTAGCATCATTACTGGATTTATCTTGTGCTGGTCGTTTGATAGCCTTTATAAAAATTTTATATTTTAATTAAGATGTTTATTTTTGATTTTAATTAAAAAAAATTTTAAACTAGTAAATAAAAACAGGTATTGTTTTTATAAAAAAGTTGAACACAAAAAATTTAAAATAATTAAAAATAGATCCTGAGTAAATGATATGTTTTATTAACATTCATTACTTTAGTCTCAGCAACTTTTGTTTCTTCTTTGGCATCTTTAACAGCATTTTTGTCTCCATCAGCTGCCACAGGCTTTTTAGTTTCTGCTTTACTTTCCGTTTTAGTTTCCTTTGATTGAACAAGCTTAGGAACTTCGTCATCTTAAATGCAAAATACAATTCATAATAAATAACTACTAAAAAATAAACCCTGGATAAAATGCACTGAAAAAAGTAAAGAAGCAGCACTTTAAGTAATCTTTACTGCAGATATGAATGAATACAAAATATATCTATATTATAAATGCATATAAAATATCTAAATAAAAGTGCTTCTAAAAACAACATTAAAAAACTTTGTAAACAAATAATAAAAAAAAAAAAAATTTAAAATGAATGAACCGACCTTCACTTTCATCCTCTTCATCTTCAAAATCTAGAGGAAGAGCTTGCAAATGAACACCAGATAGAGCCAAAGGACCTGAACCCTCTTTAAGGATAAACTTTGTTTTATTTGTAAAACCTAAATCAATGTGCACACACTCTTTACCACCAACTCTAAGAACTACAATTGGACATGTAATATCTTTCCCATTATTGTCTTCCGTGGTCACTTCAACGAGATTGCGCTCATTTTCTTTTGCTTTAAAACCCAGACAAGCAGTGCTCAATTGAAGTTTGTGCTCAACATCAGCTTCACTATCTGTCTGTGGATCCCAAGTAAACTCTTTTTTATCCTTTGTTAAAACACAACCTAAATATATGAAAAGTTGTGTTATAATTACAAAAAAAAAAAAAAAAAAAAAAAAAAAAAAAAAAAAAAAAAAAAAGTTAAACCCATAAGTTTAGAGATGAGGTTATACTTCCTGTTATTTTTCTTTGAATTTAATATCTTAACACTTATTTAGATGAGAAAAGAAAAAGGATTGCATGAAACAAAAAATTCAAGCTTTCTGTTAAAAGAAAGAAAATTTTAATTGGTTATTTTAAAGAAAATTTTCTTTAAAATAACCAATTAAAAAAATGTTTGCAACCTGCTTTTTACCAATAATCAATCAAACAATCTAAACTTTTTTAATACACATTTTGAGAAAGTTGGATTGTAGATTAAAAAGATTGTCTGCTCTTTACAAAAAAATCTGGTACATGTTGTCAAAAAACCAAACCCCCCCACCCTACCTAGAGGACAACATTATTTGTCACCCATAAGTGCAATAACTTGCAAATACCTACTGGTTAGAATTGTTAAAACACTTCTAATTAAAGGTATATCATAACAATTCTTAATTCGTAATAATAATCTTTAATTGTTATAACAAACTTTAATAAAAAGTGTTATAACAGATCAACAAATAAGTTTGACTTGATCAATAACTTGATATATACATACAAATATAAATCTTTCCTATATTTATAATTACAGATGATATTATTTTTTTTAAACTTTGTACCAAATAATTTGACAGCAATTTCAGCATTGCAATAAGTTTAAGTAACAAAGTATAATAAAAGGCATTGTTAAAAAATCTAATTTTTATCAGGATTCTGGAGAATCTGGTGGCCATGTATTTTTTATGTCATTAGAAAATGATCCATATGCAGTCCTTTGAGCTATGCTTTATGTTGAGGAAATAAAGAGCAGTTTTTCTCGAATGTTTTAATTGAAAACTAAATTGCTTTTTTAAAACTTAATACCAGATATTAAGTATTTGTTTAGCACTGAAAATCAAACTATTTCTGTACACTAATCAACCTTCAGTGCTATACAAAAACTTAAATAACTGCAAATTAAACTGTAATAAGAATAAATTAAAGTATTCCAATAGAGTATTTAAATAAAGTAACACAATAAAACTAATGTAGTTTCATGAGGCAAACTTACTAATTATATTCACCCTTCTTCATAAACTAAGCTCATATTTATCCTCATTTTGATAGGAGTTGGATTTGTATAATCATTAGAAGGTGAACAAATTATAACTTAGATTATAATAGTACATTTTAGAACAAAGTTATTCACATTATAATAGAAATAACAAAAAGTATAACAATTAAGTTAAGTTTATGAAGAGTACAATTTAATAAAAATGTAAAGTTTAGGAGACAAAATACACATTTTATTTCACATAAATAAAAAAAGCTGTAGTTATTTTCCAATTCCACAATGAACAACTTTAAATCTATTTTCCAAATCTAAAGCTTCATTATAAATAACAGATAAAAAACTTAAACTATAGATTAGAGCAGACACAGAATCCGTTGATATATAAACAGAATACAAAATGATTGTTGATTTCATGCAGTTATACATACAAGAATAAAGGGGGTGTTATAATCTTCAGATTTATTTGAATCCACATTATTTTTCAGTGTTGGATTGAAAATCATCAACAGATTGTTATGACATCATTAAATCAAAATTAAATTTTTAATAGAAAGTTTATTAAAAAGCAAATGCATAGTCAAGTCATGTATTGTTATAAAGAGAATAGTTTGTATACTTGTGATAAGCAAATAAATTTCTTATTAATATTAAACTTGACAAATCGAAATTTAAAAAAATACTTAAATATCATAAATTTGTGTTAATTTTAAATCAAATTGAATCAAACAATAAGGTCATAAAATAATATTATTAATCTATATTAACTTCAAGATGTCCTATTAATCTGAAAAAAAAAGTGTTAACTGAACTGAATTTATAGTTATATATTTAAATTACTCTAATTCAAAGAACAACTGGAAAAATATAATTTTATATGAAAAAAGTCAAAATTTTTATTGAAAAAAGGTGAAGAAATTTTAAGCCATAGTTGCTGTTTTTATTTTTTTTTTGAAGTTGTATCAATTAATTTTGACCTTTATTTTTTCTAAGAGGCGTTTTACTGTAGGAATTTTCAGTACTTAAAACTCAAAAAACTTAAAGTTTATTTAAAATATCGCGTTACGTGGAATTAAAAAAACATTGATTATTAGAACGGTGTAATGAATGTGATGTTATAATAGAATTTTACTTATTTAATGCAATTAACATTAGTGAATTATTTATAAACAAATATCAGTTAAATATTAATAGTAAAAAATGTTAATTTATAATCAATATCGTTTAACCTCGAAATACATTAATATCATATAATAAAAAAGGGTTTACAATTGAAAATACCTATATTATGAAGTAGCTTCAACAAAGAAACATAAAAAATAAGTTGTTAAAAATACGCGACTAAATTGATAATACAAAAATGATATAAATTATCCATTACCCCAAAACTCCTCTTGAGTGTCACTAGCCATTTTGTTAAACCACGTGAAAAGAAAGGTTACTAAAAAAAAAGATAATTATAACCACGTTGGACGCACGAAGACGACTTATACTAATATATACTTAACATATTTATTTGCAAGTGTTTGACCATTCTATACTCACATGCTTGCTCAAAAAAAGAGCCGTTTTACATGAACATTTTTTTTTATTTGTTATTTTAGGTGCCCCAAGAAGTCCTAACGGTCTTGTCACAGAGCACCATTGATCAACAATTATGAGCGCTTTTCCAAAAAATCACCCACGGAAACTCGTATATATTTTTCCATAATAAAAAACTGGTCGTTTCCAATTTATTCTCATTTAATTCTAACCTATATAAATACTTTGTAAACAAAAATTTTTTACATTAGTAATATTATCAGAAAATAAATTAGGTTTGAAGCAGAATCACGCACGGTACAGAAAAACGCAAATTTTAGTTAATAGATAAATAAACGTCGGAAAATATAAGTTTTAAAAATAGATAATTTTAGATATCAGTAAAGGTTTCCGGAAGTTGCATACAAAGAACAATCGTTTTAATGTAGTTCATGTATGGTCATGTACATGAGTTGTGATTTTATCAACTTCATGTAGCTATTTTTATGAAAATAAATTGCTTGTGAGTATTTCAAGAGAAATATTATATCTTTACAACTCTTTCGATGAGATAAATATTCAAATATTTTAGAGTATAGCGTTTAGAAAATCTTTGTATATTTTTCAAACTATCGCGTCATTAGAACATAAAAAAAAAAAAAAAAACGATAAAAAATATACATATTTAAATAATTAGGCAGCCTAAAGTTTGAAAAAAATTATTTTGTTATAATTGATTTTTAAGAGAATAATAATAGTATGCATATTGCTGTAAGCCCCAGCTTCTCATTGTAAAAAAAAGAAAGATAAAATATTAATCACGGAAATGGAAAAGATTAATTTAATTTATTATTACAGAATATTCTTAAAATAGTCCAATCGAATAAAATTATTTTCAGTAAATATTTTTTATAAAGCTGAAACTTTGCCCAGTAATTTTCTTAGGTATATAGATCACGTAAAAAAAATGCCCCACGATTCCCAATAGGAAACCCCCTTTTTTGGACCCAATTTCTAAATGACGAATACTCAAAATGGTAAAAAAATATTTTCAAAAATTTACTTATTATATACGATTTTAAAGCATTTTTTATGCTGAACAACTTTTTGAAAGATACTAACGTCTTAAAATGAAAGGGCAACTAGTTATTTAACAAATAAATGCTATGAATAATAGATTAAGTAATTTTTTTTTGAAAGTTTTAATAAAAACTTTCATTGAAATGGTCATTTAAAACATTTAATTAAATCGAAATTAAATTACTTTTTTTTTAATATATTCTGAATTTAGAAATCAGGGAAATATAATATGTTCCTATCGTCATCTTCAAAATATAATATGCTTCTATCGTCATCTTCATTCTTCTTCAATGTCATTGCCCTACAGGAAATAGATAAGCAAATATACGACTGATATTTTGCAGAAATATTGATATGTGATAATAAAGATTAATGATGAGCAAACGCGTCTTTTTTTCTAATTTTCATTGTTAAAATTTACCTTGCTATTCATACATTCTGTTCCACGACATTTCACACAAAATTGCAAGCACCGCGTTACGTATTTCCTGCACGTACATGCATTGCCACAACATGAGTTTTTTGTTGTTGTCTTAATGATTAGCAAAAAAAGAAATTGTTGTAGTTAGAAATAAAAATATTTAAGTTTAAATTATATTGATAAAGTTTTGTCAGATCTTTTCAAGGAGTTCGAAAAAATACAATAATTTCAGAACAAACCTTGCAATTACATCTAATGACCTTTGTTAGTGCTTCTGGCGCAATGTCATTATCGTTCATTATAGGTATGATTACTCCATCGTGTTGCTTCCAGCCCCATTCAGTTGCATCTAGTTCAATGTTATCAATTAGTGACCGTAACATTATTTGACAATGCAGGCTCAGGCCATGGAAGTAAGCAGCGTTATCAGTAGGTGGAAGTTTCTCTGGTAATATTATACCCTTGCATGCTAAATCGAGGTATTTTTTACACCTAAAATTAATAATAAAATTAAGTAAGATAATTATTTTTATACAATTAGGATTTCTATGATAGATAGAAATCCTAATAGTTTTGTTTTACTTTTTCCAAACGCAGACGAAACAGTGTCACACCGCAACCACTCGAGAGAAAAAACCCAGCTAATTCTGCTAAGTTCCTAATAAGTTTCCTACTAAAACTTAGTAAGTTCCCGCCGAGCACTTACTAGGAACTTAGTAGGATTTGCAGGTTTTAGTAGGAAACTTAGTAGGATTAGCAAGTTTTAGTAGGAAACTTAGTAGGATTAGCAAGTTTTAGTAGGAAACTTAGTAGGATTAGCAAGTTTTTAGAAGGAAACTTAGTAGGATTACTAGAGTTTTTATTCAGAACTTAGTAGGTACTTAACAGGATTAGTAGGTTTTTTTTCTCGGTTAAGTATTACTTTCTAGCTTTAGTTAATAATTTTTTTAGTTACATTCACATTTTTATTAGGGTTTTATTTAATTATTTGAATTTTGAAGATTTCATAGTTATATTAGTGGGGTTATTTTTCAAGAAATATATGAGTTTAAGTAAAAATAATAATTTTTACTTAAACACAGATTCTTCCGGAAAATATAATCCTTCTAATATAATTTAACTTATCGCTAAGCAATAAGGACGCTTGTTTATAAAACAATAATAAAAACAAAAAATAATAAAGTGCTAGATTGTTTAACTAAAACATTTAAAAAAATACAATAAACAGCGATGGTAAGTTCTTTTGGTAATTTCGCAGGTGCCAGTGGAATAATTGCACCCATAAGATTTGTCTTAATCTTTTACGACCATAACTGTAGCTATAACGTAATTTAAAAAAATATTAATGCAATTCAACAACCTAATAACATATATTTTACAATAAAAAAGCATATTTTACTCACCATAAATTTAGAACGATAAAAAACTTTCATTAACATTGTTTCAAAGCTGTTATAATCTAAAATTTAAAAATAAAAGTGTATGAAAATATGAAATTAAATTAAATTAAAAAAAATTAAATAAGCCCCGTGTGTATATATATATATATATATATATATATATATATATATATATATATATATATATATATATATATATATATATATATATATATATATATATATATATATATATATATATATATATATATATATATATAAATATATATAATATATATATATATATATATATATATATATATATATATATATATATATACATTTATAAACATACATTTTATTTTTATATACATATAGAAAAAGGAAAATTTACAGTTAACCAAAAACAATTAATAATTGTATCAAAAATATAAATATTTAATTTATTTAATAGATCTTAATTGTATCCACCTGTTATCCTAGATAACAGGTGGATACAATTTCTTTTGTCTTAACGAATTTATTTAATTCTTAGAAGAAACACTACATAAAGTCAAAATGGTACAAAAAGAAATCTGAATTAGATCATTGTTAACAACAAACTCTTGTCGCCATTATGAATTAAGTTGTCGCCATTATGAATAAATTGAATTCAAACAGAATCCTAAATAACAACTTCGAATAAAAAGAATAATGTAAAGTAAATATGTAATAATACAAAAAAACATAATACAAATTCAAACTTTAAAAAATAGAAAAAAAACCTAATCATGTTCATAATATTTTTAACAACACCATAAAAAAATTTCTTTGTTTTTTTTTGCAAGGGGCTGTTCAAATAATACGTGTCAGTCTAAGGAGGAGGGGGGTGGGAAAGGGAGTATTAGAAAGTGTCACTAAATGTCACATGGGGGAGAAGGTGGTTTGCCTCAGTGTGACGTGACAAAAACATTTTTAATTAAATTGTTTATCACTGCGTAATTAAATTAACTTATATTGCAAACTCGGAGGTATTTATATATAATACTGATTTCGAAAAAAATTATATGCAACGACTTCACGAATGGCGAACGTTTTTTGTTTAACTTTCATTTAACAAAAATTTTTGTTTTTGTTAAATGATTGGATTTGATTAATTTATATTTACTCCGTACAAAATTATTTTTGTGGAAATTGTGCGCATAAAAAAAAATTCTAATCTTACGATCACAGAACTAGATAGTGGGCAAGTATCTAAAAACGATTTATATTACTATCAAAAATCATACTTTATTTTTTTAACACTTTTTATATTAATAGACTAAAAAGTTAAGTGTTATTTTCGCTTAAAATTAGGTCTTCAAATATAATGCATAAACGATATTATTCTATTTTCAATGTTATTATTAGTACTACTTTTAATATTTTGTGTCACTCTATTGCAAACTATTGGTCTAATTACTTTATTATTTTATTATTACGTTATTATTTTATATTTATATTTTTATTAGGTTAGTTAGATTGTTAACGAATTTTAGTATTAATAATGCTATTGTTAACATTAGTTCATAATGTGCTTGTTTTTAATTAATGGTTGTTAGGAAAATAAATTTATTGTCGTTGTTATTATAGAATAAAAATGTGTAGTGAAAAAGAACAACTTTACAAATCTATTTATAAAGGATATTTAAAAACATTTGCAAACAAACCAAAGCAAAAGTCTCAAGAAGAAACAAATAAAATCTGGTCTGAGATCAAAACAAAAAGCAAAACATTACTTGATATAAAAGTAGAAGTTGAAAAAAATTGAAAGAACTAAAGCAAATTGAACTTCGAAATAAAGTTGGTATTTTATCTTACTGGACAAAATTACAAAACTATACACCAAAAAAGCTTGTGATTGAATCTAAAATTACTTTTGATGACTTGACTGATGCAACCCCATCAATTACAAGTGGTGAAGACAGTGAAAAAGGCTTACAAGAAAACTCCGATTCGTTAAAAGTTTTAAAAAGACCTGCGCCAAAACAAGATCAGTTAAAGATTGAAATTTTTATTTTACAAAAAAGATATCGCATATTTTACTGAAAAAAGAAATTGCAATTTGTTGTCACAAGAGGACCACCAAATATTAAGACAAAAACAAAAGCTTTTGA